TGAACTACTCCAAAGGTTAACGCTTCCACCACATATGCATAGCTGAAGCATTAGCTATACATGAACAAAAGCCAAAACTTTGCATTCAAAAACATTTTGTGAAACCACTTTCTCTACTTTGGCCTTAACAATTCATTTTGTTGATTTTGCCAATCTCAGTTCACTTTGGTATACTTCTCTTCTATTATCACCATTATCACCAATTTTCACTTCATTGACAACACTTGAACCATATTTCACTCTTTAATATCAATTCATTCCTTAATCATTGACCTATTGTACATGTTTCAGCTTAATTATCACCATTTTATAATTCTTTGACAACACTTGTCGCTTATCTCACCACTTGTTATCAATTCGTTCCTTAGTCACAGTGACCCATTTTCTATCTCTTCCACTTGAACAAATACCACCACCCCTCCACCGATTGTATATTTTGCATATTGACTGAGCGACTTTTTAGTGCAATTATCTGTTCACTTTACTCAGTATAAATACGACTGTACAGCTTGATAATGAAGTCGTTGAAAAGAAATATTTCTTCGCTGATACATGCCTTGTTCTTGTTAATGAATAAATGGGTATACTCCGTCAATAACAAAGTACTCAAAAAGCTTAAGTACTTTTATCTACAACTTCAGATAATACTTTGTCTGTCATATCAAAACATTAAATCTTCATAAATCCCATGGGAAGCGCCTGATTTTCTTCTCACTGAAAGCACTTTGTAATATATGGTGAGTGATCAATCACAATCAAATAAGCCACTTATAAGTACTCCTGAAATAAATGAAGATTCATCAAGAGTAGCTGTTGACTTATAATTCTATTGATTGCAAACTAATGACTTCTTCCTTCTTCATTGTGTTCATTACTACAAATTCATATCAAATCACGTAATCACAAGAACTTTATAGTCAGAAGTCCCAGACATCTGTTTCCTTTCATTATGCGACTTAAGAATGTATTCAGAGTGAGTTGTTCTCTTGGCTTGACTTCCTTGTGCAGCTGTGATGCACTGATTATAATATCTATCATGACACTGAAGAGTTTGTCAGCTAAAACCATAGCTCAGAGAATAAATCACTCTGAACACTTATACCCTGAGCTACAACCATTCACCATAATAATAAGTTTTTTCTCAAGTTAAAACATAGAGTTAACTGAGTTGACGGTTTATAGAGATTCATTGATCTCAAAGTAGCTTTCGTTACAAATTAACATACGTTAGGGAATGAGTAAAAACGTTGGAATACTGGACGGCTGGGTGCGCACTCCTGAGGAGTCAAACGTCAAGACGAAACCACTGTCCAGTACTCATAGGTTATCACTGGTACTCCAACTAATGCCACTTCATCATGATAAAATACAGATAACCAATTTATTCTTCAATAAAAATATCAAACTTCTAACTTATTACTATCTCTTAGTGGACTGGCAAATTCCACTACAGCCAACTATGGATAAATTTGCGTTAACTTTTCATTACGTTACATTTTACGCATGTTTTATTGACCCTAATAGCTAAAACATTTGATCATCATCCAACCAACTGACTTATCACGCTCAGAGTATCCAATAGTCAGTAATAGGAATGAATATAAGCTATCAACTGAACATTCTTCGACTTTGAACGCAGGGATCAATAATAATAGTGATAATAATAATGACCTTATTCCAAACAATTTCTGGTACAATATGGAATACTCAGCATGAATTTGTATTTTGGACCCAATTAGGCAGTTAAGTCTTTTAACGTCAGAGTGACCTAACATATACAACCTTTCCTTTTCTCTCCGGAACCACCTGAGATAAGGAAAGGAAAGCCCCATGTAAAATGTTTCAGCAGGGCAGCAAATATTGAGACAGAATCTGAGAAAGCTTGTCATATTGTTGATAGTGTTGTCTGAAACTTCAGCACCAAATATATCCCGACCTGTTTCTTTAGGCATGCTTTTCAAATGTAATATATTCTGTTATGAGTAGCATCCATACTGGACTTTCTTGGAAAGATATCTGAAAGCCTTCTTGTGTAATTTGCTGTACACTTTAGGGAAAACATGCACAATACAGTGGTCAGAATTTAGCAGTGGAGCCCGCTTACGGACTTCATATATGCCAGATTCATTTGTAAATACTAAGTCTAGGGTGTTGTCAAGACGAGTAGAAAAGTTAACCATATTTTCATGACCCAATGGTACTAGAAAACTGCAGTTTCATGAGTTAAAATCTCCACAGATTACAAACAAGGAGTTACCTTGAATCGGAGCTGCAAATTCATTAGCAAAAGTTGACAAATGTGAGAAACGGCAATCAGGTGTGACAAAAACGTTTTTATGTATATGTGTTTGTATTTACTCAAGTGTTTACGACGACATTTAATGGTAATATGCACTCAATTTCTTCGTTCGAGAAACGAAAGCATGCATAGTTGGAGGTGACCCAGTTTGTGTGAATAAATCTTGCTAAACCCCCACAACATTTCTAGGAAAAGCTTCCGTCTTGTCGAAATAACTTGAAACCATTTGGGCAGACTAAATCGTCATCATACACGTTATAAAACCATGTATCCTGCAGCATTATTACACCCGTCTTTCGATAAAAATATGTGAATAAGAGTGACTGAAGGTAATCAACTTTATTCGGTAACGGCCTGCAGTTTGTGCTAAGTATTTCCAGAGTAGTCATTTGATCTGTGGTCATAAGATTCAGAGCCCACTGTCGAACACCATGGTGCTTTTTCTTAATTTGCTTATCAACTTGTAAGGCGATGGATTGTAATGATTTTAAAAACGCGCGAGAGTGTATAATACGATTCGATGATATAACTGATTAATTAAAACAATGTAGGAGAAGAGATTTGATGCAGTATATTCCACAATAAACTGAGGTAGCCAAAAGTTCAAGCAGGCTTCCAGAATCAGGCTTGAACAGTTGAATTCTCAAAACTTCTTCTGGGTTCAAGTGACGAATCTCCAGTTCCTTCTAAATGTTTGATTTGAGTTTACAAATGACTGTGAAGGAGAGCAGAGTGACCACAGTTAACCATATGCTCAGTAATTAACCTGTTAGTGCCTTTGAATCCTCTTCTATACAGCCATATAGGATTGTGTTCAAAGATTTAGTCTACTATCCCCATATGTGTCTACCGACTCACCTGCCCTTGTAGAGCTGGCCACATAAGCCACACAAAGCGTATTTTATCCAAATGCATCTCCGAACACATTCTTGTACAGCTATCTAGTAGAGAGTTCAAACCCAATGACACCTCGATTCTTGAAGATTTGTTTAACTTTGGTCACTCTGCTCTCCACCAGATTCTTTCTTTGAAGTCATTCATAAACTCAAACCAAACATTTAGAAGGGAGTGCAGACTTGCCATCGAAACAATATCAGAAGCCTTTGTAATTCTCAAACAATTGGTAAAGTTAATATGAAGGTTCGATTGTTTAACTATTCAACGACTGGACAAGCACTTTAAGTATTGATTTCAACATATGCCATGAAACAGTTTTTCTACAGTTCACACTTAAACATACATTGAATCACAGATAACAATAAATGAATTTATGTAGGTACACAAGTCCTTATAAAACTGTATAATAGGATGTTTTAAATAAAATTTCAGTGATGCAAAAATTCCCATTTAGACATTTAGTAAAACAAACAATGTAAGCGAAGAAATATTTCTTTTCAATTAGTTCCTCATCAATCGCTCTACACTAAAACATGGCATTTTCAAACGTAAAATTACATACCAATCTAGTGGTGAGAGTTGTTCAATGAAAGGTTATCAATCTCAAAGTTTCAAGAAGGTGATAATTGATCAGGTAATTAAGACAGTTAACTAAAGCAAAGATTAATTGTCGTAGAAAGATTTGGCGAACAGGTTCTTACATAATTGATATTTTATATAATGATAACTAAAGAGCAAAATGAACTGTTACGTAAAATGGTAAATTGTTGACGGTAATTAGAGACAGTAGGGGGAGAGTCTGTAATAATAATAATGGAGCTATTGAAATATTAGTTATAGTGAATTGTGTGGTGGATGAAATGAAGAGTCTTGTTGTAATAAATGAGCTATACAGATGGCCAAGGCAAAGAAAGAGGCTGTACGAATCTCTTCTGAACACACAGACTTGGCTTGTGTAGGTGGATTCCTATGGCTTCTGCTATATGTAAAAGACGAACTCGTAGAGGATGGGTGAGGTGAGAAGGAATGTGATAAATAACTTTAAAGGCATTATGAATGTCAACTCGGTGGCCGGTGTCAATCAGATGAGAGAGTATTGAGCTTCGTGTCAGTCTGGTTTCCCCCTTACTTAGCCATGAAGGATGATGCTCGGCGATTCGACGACGGACTTGCCTAACTGTACGTCCAATGCAACTAGCTCCACAGCAGCAGTTGAACTGGTAAATGCACATAGAAGAGGAGAAGTCAGGGAGTCTGTCTTTAGTTCGGTCATCATCAGCCGGCTGCAGAAAACACAACATAACTTGGCGGCATTAAATGATCTTCTTATGGCATTTCTTAAGCGTTGTGTCACAATTTCGCTGATGATGTCACCTCGAAATTGTAGTCTTAGAAACAATGGTTTCTTGGAGACTGTAGGCATTTTGGTTTTCATATTGGATGTGTTCATATTTTTAGCCAGGAACGTTTCTGGATATCCATTACTACTGAGTAGATCGTGGATAATTTGAAGCTCTTCTTTGCTTGATTTAACTGTCTTAATTACTTGATCAATTATCACCTTCTTGAAACTTTGAGATTGATAACCTTTCATTGAACAATTCTCACCACTAGATTGGTATGTAATTTTACGTTTGAAAATGCCATGTGTTAGTGTAGAGCCATTGATGAGGGACTAATTGAAAAGAAATATTTCTTCGCTCACATTGTTTGTTTTATTAAATAAAATTATTTCATGATGAAATATCACACTACAACTTTAACTGAACTATCCAATTCATATAGTAATAAACAATTTGCATACCTTGGAATAATCTTCTTTCAGGCAAATTATTTCTTCTTGAAGTTGTTCATTCTTCTCTCGTAAAGTAGAATTTCTAGAGATTGAATGAAAAAAAAAAAATAAACATTCACATGAACACAAAATCACTAAAGAATAAGGCTTGAGATTAAAATAATACAAATTACAGTAACAAGAGAAGCTGTTAAACAAATGTGTATTAGTAACTAAGAAATGTTCGAAAGATTCGATATTCACCAATAATCGTAATTTCCTGCGTTATTTTATTTCCACTAGACTGAATTGATCAGTTCATCCTGGAATATGAACTCTTCGAATGGAGTTCCCTATGCTAGTGGGAATTTTACCTTGATTTCATTAGCCTGTCAGTGGTTAGCAGTGGAATACAAGACATGTGTTTCGTCCTATTTAGGAATCATCAGCTGAGTGCCCTCACACCCCAATAAACGATGGTATTCCGATTCGGGTTGAAACCCTATACAAATGTATATTATAACTGGTATCCATTGCACAGTAAGTGACTCTCATGACTCATTAACCTAATGAATAGCACTTGAGTATTCGAAGCGACGGGCTAAAGTCACCATGTGAACTAGGGAAACAGGTACATTCAACGAATAAGTCCCAAAAAGAAGCGAAGCAGTTGTCTCTGGTTCAACTTCTACTTACCATTAACGGAAGAACAACAAAGGAGGATACTCAACGAAAAAGGAATGATTCTGTCGGTCGTTTTGCTAAATAATAATGTTGGAGACATAGGAAACAAATTATAGACCGAAAGAAACGCTTTAGTGATGATGAAATTCGTCTTATTCTTCTTCTTCCCTTACAAAAATAATACTTCTTGAATAGTATCCATATCTACACCATTAAACTTGATATCTCGTAGAAGTTACCATTAATAAAATAACGGATAACAATCTTATTGAAAAAATTTTTTGAAAATTTTAAGTAGACGATGTAAGTTCTGTAACGCTAAAAATGCTAGTCTATCCTTCATCACATAAAAACATCAAAAATCTACTGCGAGTAATGCTTCAAACCTGAACAGATGGATGCTAGCATACATGAAGATATGAAGCACAGAGCTCCTCTTGGAATAAAGTAAATGTTGCGATCAGAAATGAGTGTAACCAGAGCACTGATTGCTTACTTAATCAACGCTATAAAAACTTTTACTATGAAACTATTTACCTCTTAGAGTGTCACTGACTGATTCTTTTTTTTGAAATGACTGATTGAGACGGTTAGAAATTCATTTCATTGGCTTATTACTCCTGTTTAGTCCATAACCAAAATCGAACAAAAGACTCAAAGATACTTTTTTGAAAGAAATGATAAGACATACTTCAGAAATAAAGATTTTATAACTACTAGCTTGATGAGGAATCCAGATGTATTTGCACTAGAAAAATGGATTTAGAACTGTGTCATATAAGGAAAATCAGATTTCGCTCGGAATATTCTATAGAGCTAAGCACATTCAAGCTGCAAATAACTTAATGTACTTTTGAGGTGAATGAGGATTTTTAACTTAGAGGTAGTATTCATCACAAACTGATATCAGTTGGGGAACCACTGAAAATCTGGGAGCACTGAAAGGGAAGCGGATACCAACTGAAGATCTTGGTTGATAGTCGCACTATATCGTAGATTGACAGAAGTTGGAAATTGTGAACCACTGAAAACAGACCCAATGGCTGGATGGTTAAGGCGTTCGCGGTGAAACTTGAAGGTGTTGAGTTGGATCCCTAGCCGGTTCGTGGGGTGCGTACTGGTGAGGAGTCTCATACAAGGACAAAACGGCTGTCCAGTGCTCCTAGACTTTCAACAGTTCCCCAACTGATGTCAGTCCATGATGAATACTACCTCTAAGGTAAGTAACTTAGTCAGTGACTAATTCTGTAAGTGAACTGCTGATGATGAAGGAGTTTCATACTTCACATCTACTCTACTGAGAACTGTTGCTCAATAGTTTAGGGAGATAACTTTCAATCAATGAGACACGGGTTCAAACCCCGTTCCACCTACTGAGGTTTGGACAACCAGGTAGTGTATCATTAATCCTCATGCAATGGATGTGGCTCATTGCATACTGCACGAAAGTGGACAAGGTTGCTGAGTGCATTTAGTTCGTTTGTTACTTTAGTTCATTTGGAACTAAGATTACTCCACATACACACTCTTAAATCTCAGAAAAGGTACACCATGCTAACTGCTCAATAAAGTGTCCCATTCATAGATAAAAACGTCGGAACACTGGACGGCTGGGTGCGCACTCCTGAGGAGTCCAACACCGAGACGAAACCACTTTCCAGTGCTCATAGGTTATCACTGGTACTCCAACTAAAGTCACTCCATCATGAAAAAATACAGATAATTTATTTATCTATCTAATTCTTGAAAATTACGTATGAGGTTTACATTTTTCGTTTCTTCGTTTATGAAAACTAAAATTCTCGATCGTGCTTCTCCTAGTGATCACCAAGTTCACTTTATCTTTCTGCAATTCCAATCTGACGGTTCTCGCATAACTGATCAAATTTATACACCAAAAACACGAATCAACAAGTATTGGAGAAATGCTCTCTCCACCTTTCCGCATTCACCATCACTGTACAGAAACAGTTATCTTGAATGTATGTCGTAAGGTTCCTTAGGTTACGCTTACGATATATTTTTCAAAAAATTGGAAATCGCAAACATGTTAGCGAATAATGTAGGTCACATTACATTCAAATGGTTTCAGGTTAATGAAAACTGTAAAGGAAAGACGAACAGACAAACGAACAAATCAACATAGAACCTAGAACACAAGCGCATCACTTCAAGTCCCCATACTTTTCAGTAATGAACAAAGAACAGGTGGATAGAAAAGGAGTGATATTAAATTAGATAACGTCATGTGACAGAATAAACAATTTGAAGATGAAGGTGAGTGCCAATACTCAAGCCTTAGAAGATGCCAAGGAGTGAATATATCTATCCTGTTGTGACCGATTCTCAGCCATGTCACCAAGAGTCCTCAACCACTGATTCGTTTCGTCTCGAGGACCCAAACAAGGCAGTCTACGTCCCTCTACACGGATCACACCAACAGTCACAGACTTCATGAACTGGTCACAGGTCTTCTTCTAGCCACTTTGAAACCTTTTCCAACATTATCCAACCACTCCTAGCATGGTACGTGGAGGTAGGAAGTGGCTCTAGGTGCGCAGTACATGTCCAAGTCACTTCACTTTCATCCAACAATTTGCCTAGTACCCTTCTCCTGACCTCAACATTGCTCATACGGTGACTCCACCAAACTCGAGAAATGCTACCAAGACACACATCAAAACCCTGTAATCGCTTCACGTCTTCTACTTCCAATGGCCATGTCTCACAGCCGTGTAACAGGACAGATTAAAATGCAAAGCAGTCAAGTGAATTTGCATTCATTTCATTAAATTCCTTTTCAATAATTATGAAACTGTAATAATTTGGCAATTAAGTATATATAGCAACATACAAGTCAGTAACAGCAACCTCATATGAAACTGAAAACAATAGAATGTGCAACTCATCATCAATCAATCGGTCGTTCCATACGGACCGATTCACCTCAAGGTAGTTTTAATCACGGACTGATATCAGTTACAGAATCATTGAAAATCCGTCGTCAGTACTGAACAGCTATTCTGTATCAGTGTGAGACTCCTTCCGAGTGTCCGCCCATGATCACATCACGGATCGAAAGTCAAAGTCGAGAAATATGGATGACTGGATTTTAACAATGTAGCTGAGTTGTAGAGTGCTGATTGTCAGATCTGATGGTGCTTGCTTCAACTCCCAGTGAAGTAGTGAATGTACAATGCTCAAAAGTCCTAACTTTCAATAAAATTAAGCTTCATTACTCCCAAGTTTTCATTTCATGATAAAAATCATCCTGATTCATCTATATCAAGTAGACCAATCAGAGTGCTGATAGTTCATGATGACTAATCAACAGTTATTTAAAAGGACTGATTAACATAACGGCTAGTGGTATTCATCACAAGCTGGCACTATTTGGAGACCTAGTGAAACAAAGTCGTAACTTATAGGGTAAACCAAGTCGGACGTGGTGAAAAACACTCAACAACGGCAGTGGACGATGCTCGCACTACAATGAGAATCGAGAAAAGTAAGAAAATATGGATCGTTGGATTCCAACCCAGTAGCTAAATGGTTATTGAGTTCGCCGTGAAACCTGAAGGTCCTGAGTTCGATCCTTGATAAGGTCATAGGTGCTTACCCTTGAGAAGCCTTATACTAGGACGAAACAGCTGTCCAGTGATCCTAAGTTTCCAATGGTTCCCCAACTGATGTCATTTCATGATAAATACTACCCTATTAACCTCAAAAAAGTATGATTTAGTCGCTGTATTTGATTGCATGGTTTGACATAGCATAAAACGGTCCAGTAATATTCATTAGATGAAGTTTTTTCAGCACCATTTGTTATTAATTTAATATCTCCAAGCTCTATACCCACAAAATTAACTTTATATTCAAACCAAAGTTTTGATTCGCTCTGCGTTCTGTTTGAGCTTAATTGCGTCATTTAACCTGAATCAGTGATTCTCGGTTATTAGCTACTCACTCTGATGGCAACCTTGAGTCCTTTCTCGAGTAAAATCCGATATACTTTAAGTGGTACAACTCCCTGAAGATATCTTAAATGGACTGAAACATAAACAGACATATCAAACTGGAAGCTGATATAGAAGTTCATTACTTAACATTGCCTCATTCGACAAAAGTATGCAAATAATAAGGGGAAAACAAGAAAAAGTGTGATAGTAAAGTAGTCAAAAGTGTATAAGAGTAGAGAGAATTCTAAATAGGTGACTAGTTTTATCTGGAGGTTTGCGGAGACTTATTAATTGATTTTAGGTTGAGATTCATCATGAACCGAAGTCATTTGGAGAAACATCAAAAACCGTGTAACACTGGACAGCTATTCCATCCGACTAGTATGGGACTCCTCAGCAGTGCGCACCCGCGACCCCACTCTACCGTGGGTCGAACCCAGGACCTTCAGTTTCCGTGGCC